AAAGCTCATTTCCAATTATTTTATACATTTTATTTTATATTTATTTGAAATAAATTAAAATAAATATGTTTAAAATAGTTAGCAAATGCAAGGCAAGACAAGAATAATTTTAGAGGTCCTCTATAAACTTAGGAAGATGCTTGAAGTCCAAGAAATTGAGCCATTGCCTTAAAACTTCAAATTTGCTCAATGCATATTTCTTTAAAACTCCCAAATTTTCCCAACACAAACAATGGTAAAAAATAATTAACAATACTCGATTGTTAAAGACTCAACAACTTTGGCCGGACGGACCAACCTGCTCTGATACCACTAATGTAACACCCCATTTCTATCCCACAGTTATATTAAAATCAGAGTGCCAAAGTTTCTGCAAACATGAGGCATTATATTCTCATTTCAAAAACCAACAACATAAAAACCTATCATAATAGATATATAGCACATATTAATCCAAAGAACTTATAACAATTAATTAGTCTTCCAAAATATTTCAACTTGATTCCATAAATACGCAGCAGATTCACAACTTTAAAACTTCAAAAGAAACATAGCATCTTTTAAACAACTTAATTCAAAGAAAACAACTTCTTAAAATAACAACTTGGATTAAACTGAAAACATCATAAAATCAAATAAGTGTTCATCCCCCCCCGAGTGCTACGTATCAGAGCAACGACACCAACAAGCTACTTAGTCTCTAATCCTCGTTACCTGCACGTTACCAGTATAAAGGTAACGGCGAAACAAATAAGGGGTGAGATATCATATAATATAAATAAGATTATGATAATTAATATACTAGACAAGAACATTATGAATTTCACCGCTTCTCAACAACACACAACAATCAATAAACATTCACAATTATCATTAGTGATTCAAAATGCAATTCGAATACGACACAACTATGCATATGCATGTGGTACCAACAAGGCTTCAGCCCTCTTCACTAATTGATAATTAATAGAGGCACAAGACATAAACCTACTTCACAAATTCGCCAATACAGGCCTTCACAAATGCAAATGTATGAGACTCATGTAACATACAACATCATATACATATCATTCACCACAAATTTCACTACGAGGCATTCGCCTATATCCCAGCATCACTGGCAATAAGCCTAACACTTCACACATTCAATCACATAATCACTTTACCAATAAGAAAACACCAAACAACCAATTTTGTACTTTAATCATATATCACACACGTTTATTATAATTCCATAAACCAGACGAATCGGCTTAATTCATTTCTACTCGCAAAACAACATTTTTCAATAAAATAACTCAATTATAATTATCTACTATTTAATATAGTTACCTTGTAAAATTCTACTTAATTTCGAACAACTAATTATACTGCTTAATGCGCCTAATTCGCAAAAATACATCAATATACCAACATACTGAATTAATCGACTCGTGTCCAATTATTTGCTAACTTAATTAAATTAATCCCACTACTAAATTATTTTCATTACAAATTATGCTACTAATATACTTCTTCTAATTATATTGGTAAGCGACAGAAACAGTGTCTTCCATGAAATAATGCCTAACGTCACACCTCAATATGCCTGGTGGCACAACTTTTCCTCAAGCACAAGGCCTAACGACACTCTCTACTCAGAATCCTATGTCTATCGTCACAACAACAAACAAATATATATATATATATATATATATATATATATATATATATATATATATATATATATATATATATATATATATATATATATATATATATATATATATATATATATATATATATATATATATATATATATATATATATATATATATATACAGTGCCGATCGGCACCCACCTTCTCATCATCCCTGTCGATCGGCAGGATCCTTCTCATAACATGTGTCGTTCGACACAATACCCCTGCCGGTTGTCACTACATGTTGTATGTTCCTCCGGTCGTCACTCTCCATTCACAACATGGAGCACCCTTTCTTCCAGCCACACATACTTCACCAATTTACCCAGTTTTCATTGATTTTCAATTACAGCAACAAACAACTACACCAACATCAACATGAAACAATTTTCAACAACGAATTTATCGACAGTAACCAATTTCATCAGAATATTCACAACAATTAACATACATATAGAAACAATTTTAACAAACCAAATCCCACATACTAACCATCATATTCCCGATTATAAAATCCGAACCCCACTCTTACCTTTTGGTTTTCCGGTCGATCGAATTATCCGGTTGAAACTGCAACTGGTTTGACGGCAATTTCTCTAAATTTTCTTGCCTCCCACTTGGTGCCTCCAAAACCTTGTTTCTTCTACTCCTATGTGATAATTGTTTTTCTTTTAGTTTTTGGTTGCTAGCTTCTATATATCATAACCTAATATAATAATAATAGGTCTACTAGTAACTTTAATGTGCCTGTTAATGCTATTCATAATCTTGCTATTTCACACACCCAACTTGACCCAACTAATAAAATAATATTCTATTAAAATCAACATTATTCCGATATTAATTTCTCTTGACTAAATTGACTAATTATTCACTTATCCATTATAACAATATATATTTAATCCAATAATGCTCCTTATAATTATTCGGATAATTCCTTATTCGACTAAATTTCAACAATTTAAATCCTCAGTAATCCATTTAAATAATTTAATGAATTTACGGGTGTTACATTACAGGGGATCCTTGCCTCCCTTAGGGGAGATCAAAATGTTTAATCCCTAAGAGGGATCCTTGTCGCACTTAAAGGGAATTAAAATATTGGATCCCCAAGGGGGATCCTTGTCGTCCTTAGGAGCGATCAAAATGTTGAATCCATAAAAAGGATCCTTGCCACCATTAGATACGATGAAGTACTGAATCTCCATAATAGATCCTTATCGTTCCCCCTGGTAAGAAAAACGGTAAGTATACACTCTACCATAGGAGAGGGTGGTGCTCACAAATAGTCCAGATCAACATAATCATACATAAATGGCTATGGAGAAAAATAACAAAGGTGATTATCATAAAATACGCCTAAGGGGAGTCGATGTCTTATTGCTTACAAAAAGCCCTCGCAAGGGCAAAGAAATACAATAAAGTCCATCAGGGGCCAAGAAATACCACATAACACTCAAACCATTAACCTCATCTTGAGTTGCCTTCTTTGTGATGGCATTCTTTGATTGAGAAGCTTCAGATCCACCTCCTTTCATTGTCACGCCATTGTCCTGAGCGTCCTTGACAGGAGAAGAACCTTTGAGCTCTGAGGGGGACACCACCTCATTAGGGATGAAAATGGTCATGTGTATCCATGGGCACGGGTACTAGTCCCCACTACCCATCCCGTTTGATAAATATGATACTCGTATCCGACTCATATCTGTGCAGGTATCCGCCAGACGGGCATTCATGTATTTTGAGATACCCATGGATACTATTATTTAAATATTATTTTTAAAAATATATATAATTAATTAATTTTTAATCCCTTTTAAAAACAAAAAAAATTAATTTCAAATTTAGCACATAATAATAATAACCAAAATAAATCACATTTATTTTATTTCTTCTTTTAAAAAATAATTATACTAGATTCAACAAAATATTAATAGTTTCATATTAAACATAATAATAATAATAATAATAATAATAATAATAATAATAATAATAATAATAATAATAATAATAATAATAATTTCATATTTAACAAAATAATAGTAATAATAATAATAATAATAATTAGATTAAATAAAATAATATTTTAGTGATTTTGTTAATTATTAACAGATACGCATACTCGCGAGTATGAATACCATCAAATTTGTATTTGTGTCGATGAGAAAACCGGTAACTATATATCCGTTTATTTTACCCGTGGATACCTATTAAGATATCTAACTCATACTCGTGACGGGTTTTACCCACGGGTATAATTTTTTTTGTCATCCCTACACCTCATCATCCATAAGTTGGTCATTCACGGATAACTTTAAGGAAGTCCAATTTGCTCAGGTCCAACTCGAGATAGAAGAAGGAAACATGCTTTCTTGTCCGCTCAAAGTAGACACCAGAGATTAACTTGGATTTCTTAACACTTGTTTATTCTAGAAATACCTAAGTCTTAGAGTTTGTCTGTGTTGTATTTTGTATACACCTCAGATTGTATATCAAGTGCACTTCTGAAATAATCCTTTATCTATAAGATAGGTTGTTAGAAGTCACTTTCTTGTGTGTTTGAGCATTGAAGTCTCTTACTTGTGTGTTTGAGCATTTGAAAGTCTCTTGCTTGTGTGCTTGAGCATTGAAGTCTATTAGTTGTGTGTTAGAGCATTTGGAAATCTCTTGCCTATGTGCTTGAATATTTGTAATCAGAAGTGATTATATTGAAAATCTCTTAGAAGTACAAGGAGAATGAACTACTTCTTATTTGTGGGAGAAACCAGGATGATTGTTTGTTTCTCTCTTTCTCTCTTCCTTAACTCTGAATATTATTCTGCTACTATTATCAGACTCTGACTCAGATTCTAACATTGCATTCAGAATTTAATAAGATTTTTTGAGAGAAAAAGAAAAAAAGTTTAACACAATTCAAACCACCTTCTTTTGTTTGTTTCACCTTAAGATTCTTTACTAGAGAACCGTGTTTGTTATATATGAATGAGTATAAGAGTGTCTTTATATAAAAATTATTTGTGGTGATATTTGATGTGTGGAATTAAATGGTTTTTTCTACCACCCAAAAAAATAAACAAAGATAGGTCTATCAACATTTTATTGAATTTAATTATATTCACTACTTTTAGACAGTGTGTATTAAATGCACCATGATTTACATGCTAAAGATAGATGTGTTTTTGTTAAACCTTTTTTACATAATTTCATTTTTTATAGGCAAAACTAAAAGCTGCAAAGTGGATGACAAAACTTGTTCCTAATTATGATAACTTGTCCATTATATATGGAGATGATAAGGCCACTGCAGGAAAATTTATAAATGGTAGGGCCACTTAATCGTGAGTCAGAGTCCATCAAAACTAGTGAGCAAGTGACATTAGGGAGTTTGCAAGAGGGAGTCAATGATCAAGATGTTACTTCTCCTGAGGTGCAAATTCCACAAGAATCTAAGGCTAAAAGATCTAAAAAGTCCCAAGATGAAGTTGAAATTGAAGAGATAAAATCTGCTCTTTTGACCATAGTTTTTGTTTTTAGAGAGAGTACTACATCTCATGATAAATATTTTAAGGAAAATGTTTCTACTTATGGAAACTTTTACGTGAAATGCAAATGGAAAGTCATATGCTCACTCCAGTATATAATTATCTTGTCGAATATCCTGAAAATGTTAGAGCTTTACTTGGACTCTATAAAGATATGCGAAAGAATTATCTAGTTAAGATTATGTTTGGTCAAGGTTTGTCAAGATAATTCATGTATTTTTTGAACATTTTTCCATATACTTACTAATTCTATTGAAAGCATATAAGTTGATGGTAAGTTGTTATTTTAGTTTGAATATTGTAGAAATTTGTGAGAGATGGAAGAGAGAAATCAAGAATATTTGATTGTTGTTGCAAAAGTTATATTTGAATACAATATATTGAATCGTAACTAATTTTAATTTATTACGAAAATTGTGAAAATTCAGACCTACATTGCCGAGAGAGATCGGAAAGAAAGATATTATTTAAAATAGTATTTTTTTGTGTTGGTCCATTAAATTGATTTTAAAATCTTTTTACTACATTTTTTATTTATTTTAGATTTCAAGAACAAATAAGAAATTTATAATTTATCTTTTTTTTCGTATTTTAAAATTAATAATGAAATAAATAATTATAATTTTTTTAGAAAAACAGAAATTTAATTTATTATTATTTTATCAAGTTTTTTTTTTTAGATTTACATGAATTTTAGTTTTAATTTATATTATTAGATATAGTTTTTAATTTTATTTAGAAAATTTTATCAATTTTTTTTGTATTTTTCAAATTAATAACGAAATAAAAAATAATATAATTTTTTTAGAAAAATTCAAATTTAATTTATCTTATTTTATCAAGTTTTTTTTTCCGAATTACATGTAGTTTAATTTTAAATTTTTTTAATAGATATAGTTTTTAATTTTATCTAGAGAAATTTATCTTTTTTTTGTATTATTCAAATTAATAATGAAATAAAAGATAATACATTTTTCTTAAAAAATAAAAAAATAATTTATTATTATTTTATTAAGTTTTTTCACATTTACATTCATTTTAATTTTAAATTATTTTATTAGATATAAATTAGAAAGTAGAGAATACAATTTAATAAATTAGAAAATAGAAAATACATTCATTTCACTTCCTCCTCTCCTCCCTTTCCTTTCCCTTCCCTCCTAAGCCTTCCCCTCCCCTTATTTTAAAACTCCCAAACATAAACTAAAGTTCAATATTAGATAAATGAGGTTTTAAGTAAAAAAAAATGACTTTGGTCTATTTTTCTATACTAATGTAACCATATATTCACAAATTTGTGTGGTTGTAATCTCTATTACCAAGTAGCGACAAAGAGAGGATTAAAACAATTCTAATAGAATTTTTATCATAGCAACTTCTTATCAATTTACTTTCAATTGAAGAAAAAAAAAGGTATGAAAATTCCTCTATTGTATGATCTAGGTAATTCCGTGATTGTCGAGTTATTTAACTAATCATAATTTACGTTGAAATGAACAACACATTTTACAACTCATATATATAACACCATGTTTCCAATTAGTTAATTTTAATCGATTTATCTACGACTTAAATTGTGATTTCATATATTTTATTTGATTGATGGATTGTGGTAGTTAAATAATTATATGGAATATAAGTTAGTTGGAATAAATTAGAATTATTTAAAATTATTTTGATAATTAAATAATAAGAATTTACTTAATTTAATTAAATAATATATTAGAATAATAAAATAATAAGAAAATAAGAATGTGTAGAGAAATTGAGGGTAAGGTTGAAATTAAGGAAAATATAGAGGATAGAAAGAGAATATCTTAATTAGGAATTAGGTTTTTCTTTTATTAAGAAGAAGAGTGTAGAATAAGAATATAGTCGGTAAGTGTTTTGAAGAAAGAGTGAAAAGAGACAAGGGATACAAGATTGGCTAAAGGTAGGAGAAGAAAAATTTCAAAGAGAAATTTGCTTGCTTGCTAGGAAAAATACAAGGTAAGGAGAGAAATGTACTTCTCTAAGGGGTGTTAAAGCATGAGGGATATATGGAGGGATCCTTAACCTCCTTAGGATGGAAGTTCTAATTCTAATTCTGAATTTTAATGTTATGAATGTTGTTGTATGATGATTTTGTGATGAAATTAACTAATATAAAATTTTTAAAGATAATATGTACAAATATAATTTGAATCACAATTTTAAAAATAACATGTACAATTATAGTATGTATCACAATTTTAAAAATAACACATACAATTATAGTATGTATCACATTTTTGCAAATAACTAGTACACATCAATCACTATTATAATTGACACATAAGATAGTTTACAAATATCATAGTTTGTGAAGCTATATATAACATAATGTTTTATATATATATTTCTGCACATAAAACAATTAACATAAATATTTATTAAAATAAAAATTCAACTATGAAAAAAAATCCAATAAATAAAGTGAAAATATAATGTGTTTCTCAATACATTCATGTTTCTTCTCCTTGTGTATATAAATGTATCTTTTTTTTTTATGATTATGTGTTACAATTTGTCCCACGTAGGAATACCCTCATATATCTCACCCTTATGTATAAAATTTGATATCATGTCTCTTATCTGACTACATCTAGGCAACAAATTTACAATATATTAAACTTTAACTTGTGTCTTTTCAAATATCTCTTAAAGGGTTAGTCTCAACAAATCTTCCTTTGTCATGAGTAACAAACATGAATGTGAAATCTTTCAATACCACATCATATATCCACGTGTGATATCCCATAATTTGATCATACAAGTACAACATATTTATTATCCTATTATATGCAATCCACAATCAAGATATGCTTGATCAATATATGATTCGGACATGGGATGAGAATCTAATATTGATGGACATTTCAAGATAGTATAAATACATTTCAATATCCTTTATTAGAGTCCAATATATACCCTCTATTAAATGCACTTTATAAAAATCATCATCATGAGAAAAACAATAAGTATACATCATTGAGTGATTAAGTGTTTGCCTATAGAAATATACCACCAAATGTGCCCTCTAGAGACAAAATAAGGAAACACATGAAAGTGCCTCGTCATATTTTCATTCATTAACTTATATATATATATATATATATATATATATATATATATATATATATATATATATATATATATATATATATATATATATATATATATATATATATATATATATATATATATATATATATATATATATATATATATATATATATATATATATATATATATATATATATATTCATTAAATTAACAATGTTACTTAAAAGAGGGTCATGTAATTATCCATCTACCCCATTTAATATTTCATTGCATTGTGCATCTTACTATAAAGAAAACTAAGATAAGTATCACATTGTATAATGGTTAAATGAATCGAGGTCTCTGATGTAATTTTGATATATAACATTAACATATGTGATACTTTTATCATTAGAAATGGTTGTGCCCGATAAACAAAACAAATATGCTTTATTGCATTTTGCCATGTAGATCTCTAAGATATGGATTGTCTCAATTCATCAGTGAGACGTTCATATGTATTTGGTACTCTAATTATAGCCAATTTACATGAGTGCCTACAATAATATAATACTCTACTTTTTTGTGAATCAAATCTTGGAATATCCACCAACAATTGAATCTCATCAAGTATGAGTAGTGACGTGTGATCCCATAAACTACTAATGATAGGAAAATGTACTAGATATGAGACACCGTCCAATATCTAATATACCAATATTATCAATTACCATATAAACTCATTATTCATGTGGCTTCGGTAGAACAAAAATATTTCACTAATGATTGATGTACGTTAGTGTATCACAAAATTGGAAATAAATAATGCAATGATAATAACTTGCATTATATAAACTTCATATGATTTATTATTTTATTAAAATGTACTTTGAAATTTACCTAACCGGTCCTGGTGCGAGATGCCATGTAGACGTGAAATGACAAACAATGTCATTCTCATTTATCAAAATTGTATCACATGTTTAATAATGACATGTATATTCACAATTTATAACATAATTTTAGAAAGAACATATACAATTACAATTTGTATCACACATTTGAAAATCAATAATCTACATCAATCACTACTATAGTTGGAAAATTAAATTAATTGGCAAGTCACATAGTTTGCGAAGTTATTTATAACATAACATGTTTCATATCCAAACCCACATCCAAATTTAAGATAAATACGTATCAAAATAACATTCAAATATGCAAAAATATCTCACAACTATATACATAATTTATTGTGTATTTTATACATTCATGCTTATAGTCTTCATGTACAAAAAGACATCACTCCCTTATGTGATTATATGTTGCAATGTGTCTCATATAGGAGTGTCTATAACATGATCAACTTTACCATCCACCTTTTCAAGCACCTCTTAACAAGCTAACCTTAACAGACATCCCATTGGCATAAGTTGAAAATATGGATATGACATCCTTAAATACCATGTATATCCGTGCATGATATCTCATAAGCAAATCATATGAGTGTGACATATTTATTCTTCTATCAAATGTAAGCCATGGTTAAGATATGCACCAACAATATATGATTGAGATATGGTATGTGAATCTGATATATATGGATCTTTCAAGACAATCTAGATACTGGATGATATCATTTATTGGAGTGCAAATAGATTCCCTAACAAATGCAATTAACAATTTTCATCACAAAAGAGAAATATTAATCAGCCACCATTAAAAAATCAAGTGTTTTCTTATACATACCAGAAGGTGAGAAAAAATATGGGTTTTCATTGTTTTAGAATTAACAAATATTTTTTAAATGTTTAACAAAAAACAAAGTCAAACCAAAATTAGTGGTCACTGTTCTTTAAACTAGCGTTGGTTCAACAAGATCCACAATCATAATACCCCTCTATGGACAAAACATTGAAGGACGACCCTTCTTTGGACAAAACATGGACAAACATGAAAGTGCCTTGTGATATTCCTCACTTAGTATGTTTTTCATTTCAAAATTCTTGTCATTTCACCAATTGAGAGATGCGAGCCATTGATCTTTGGATGCCATCCAATCTAAGTAAGATAAATATTGCTTTAATATATGAAACAAAACATATGAGAT